CCACAAGTCTTAAAGCTGTCAAGGTCTTGTAACTTGACAGCTTTAAGACTTGTGGACTTCAGCTCCCAGAATTCCTCCTCTCGCTCTTCATCTTGATGATGTGCGGACGGGTAGGGGAAGGGAGCTGGAACCGGTTCTAAATGGCATTGTAGATTTGTGGAACCTCTTTTATAGAAGAGGTTAGAACTGGCAGGAACCCACCCCTAATTTAAGGTTAGAACATGGTGAGCAGAAAATGCTGTTTACCATAATGAAAGTAATTGATTTAAAATAATAACTTCAGTAGATTTCACCAAAGCAAAGTACCGTAAGTCTACTGAAATCAACCAGTTCCCTCCCCCCTCCCAAATGTGGATCTAGTGCAATGTTTTCAATTACTCGACAAGAACAAAGAGATCCATTTGTTGGTTAATGTTTAAGGTAAATTGGGGAATTAAGACTACGCCTGTCTATTCCACTCATGGTCCAATTTTACATATGGATTGAAAACGACACTGGAACACAAACCAATCCATAAAAAGTCCAATGTGTGCATGTTCAACCCCCATAATAATAGGTCCTGTGAATTAGGTGGAGGATAATTTATGATATATAATACATCACCATCCATCTTGTTCCAGAAAACTATTTCTGCAATTGCTGGATTAGCCACATCAAGGCTTCTATGGAAGATTTAGGGATTGTTATCAATGCCCCAAGAACATAGTTTGCTACATAGTTTGTTACACGTTACTTGCATGGGTCTTATGTGGTAGGAATACTGATTTTATGAGGTTACTTGCTCCGCATGCAAGAGAGCTTCCACCAGTACTTGTTTAATTGGTTTATACTTACCAACTTTATAATGGATGCAGCCTTCCAAATCACCTACAGTGATCCAGCCCTGTTTCTTTTCTACCTCTGGATCATTGTGCAATATTCTGTTTCTTAACCATGAAAGGTAGTAAACCCGAAGCTTATTCTTCTTTCCTGTTGAGACATGTAGCTCATTTTTTCTACCATAGATAGACAGATAGATAGATAGATAGATCCCACCTACTTAGACAATATGTTTACCGTATTTTTCAGAGTATAGGATGCACCGGAGTATAAGACGCATAAAAAATTTGAAGAGGCAAATTAAAAAAAAGTTTTTGCACTCTGCAGACCTCCCCAAAATGGCCGTTTGTGAAAATGGGCCCGTTTTGTGTCAAAAAAAAGGGGCATGCATAGCCTTTAGGAAGCTTATAGAGTGCTCCTGGGGGCCTGGGGGGGGGGCAAAAACAAGCAAAAAACAGCCCTTTTTTCGCTCATTTCTGTCCTCCCCAGCCCCCAAGAGCACTCTGGAAGCCTCCTAAAGCTATGCACGACCATTTTTGCAAAGGTGACGGGGGTTCGGGAGGCCAAAAATGCTGTATTCAGTGTATAAGACGCACCCAGATTTTCACCCTCTTTTTTGAGGGAAAAAGGTGTGTCTTATACTCTGAAAAATATGGTAATTTGTTTGCTTTTTCCTGTTTCATTATTCCGTTCATGCAAGTTAATTTGGGGGATATTAACTATATTTGTTTTAACATATGCAACACGAGGGGTGCTTCTTATTTCATTCTGTATTTATTTTCTACTCTCTATCTATCTCACCCAAGAGGGCAAATCTTTTTGGAACATTATGCTTGTGCTAGTCTTCCTGAATTCTAAAATATTTTATCACCATTTATTAAAAATTGTCACTGCTGGTTTTTCTACTATAGACACAGCCGGACTGATGCTCTTCAGTTATCAAATACATCAACATGCTTCGGATCCAGGGATTTCTGGGGAAGGTATGGTGAGGTCCTCCAACTGAAGATGACCTACAAAATATACCTTGGGTTTCACTACAGATGGAATTACAAGCACGGGAGACACCAAGAGCACAATGGAAGCATGATGTGGTCTTGTGATTATACCTGAGATAGTTACTAGGACATTGAGGCCTTCTAACACATCCATTTGTTGGAACCGTCTTCTATTGATCAGATTATACACTTTTCCTTGTCCGCTCCGATCCAACAGCATAAGCCCATTCTCGGTTCCCACCAGCAAGTTTACACCTATGTAAGGGAAAGAAGGGGATGAAACAAAAATTGGGGTCAAGAATGACAAAATAAGGGGATCAAAGCACAGCTGCAACACTGCAGTTCATTAGCGAATCAATTTGTTTTAATAAGGATGAAAGTAATATTTAGGAAATATTTTTATTGTTTTTTATAAAATGCATGACCTTATATGGAACAGCTCATTGTCCCATGAGAAAAAAATGGGGGAAGAGTGTCTCTTTAAGACTGCCTTTGCAATCCTGAGTTTTATATGAATGGTATTAAAAAATAGTATAATCAGAAATATCTGTTTCCATTTTAAGCAGGGGCAACTTATTCATTTGAACCAAGGGTATCACTATTGGCTATATACTTGCTTAGGGAGAGAATTTAGGAAAGCTTTGGTCCTCCAGTCCTCCTTGATTTCAGTCAATTTAGTCTATGATCAAGAATGAAAGAAAGTCATATAAGAATATCTGAAGGACAAGACATGTAGATTCTCTTCCCTGAGTTATGAATCCTTTCTAAGTGATTCATTGATTGTATAAAGGTAAAGGTCCCCCTTGCACATACGTGCTAGTCATTCCTGACTCTAGGGGGCAGAGCTCATCTCTGTTTCAAAGCCGAAGAGCCAGTGTTGTCTAAAGACGTCTCCGTGGTCATGTGGCCAGCATGAGTAAACGCAGAAGGTGCACAGAACACTGTTACCTTCCCACCAAAGGTTGTTCCTATTTTTCTACTTGCATTTTTACCTGCTTTCAAACTGCTAGGTTGGCAGAAGCTGGGACAAGTAATGGGAGCTCTCTCCGTTACGTGGCACTAGCGATCCGAACTGCTGACCTTTCTGATCGACAAGCTCAGCGTCTTAGCCACTGAGCCACCGCATCCCTTGAATTGATTCTATTTGTGCCTTTAACTCAGTTTTGATGCCACTGACATCATCATTCAATGGCTAAAACAATCAAGATGTATGGCCACAGGCTCAGCCACTCTAGTAATTACTTTAATTTTATTCATAATTTTATTCATCATTGGTGGATTTTTCTACGCTTGAAATCTAACATTTTCACCTGCCAGATGCACTTCCTGAATGGACCTGGGGTTTATTTGAAAAGCACAGAAGGATTTGAGTTTTAATGATGTTGAAAGAAGTGATTCCTGATTTTCTCATAAAAATCGTGGAGGATGAAACGTATGAGATGCTACCCATTATGTAGTTGAGAAGGAAGCAAAATTATAAGCAAAAGAAGTCAACCAAAAGCACTGTCATGTGAACTGTGTGGGAAAGGTATATATGTGTGGCAGGGCATATGTAGGATGGAGGTTCTTAGGTTCTCCTGTTATATGCAAACTACATCAGAAAAAAAAAATGCAGACATCCTTTTGAGGATATGAAGAGCTGACTGAACTAAGTTGCTACAGCATGTATGTCAGGCCTGCAGTTATATCCCTTTTAGGATCTTTGGCCTGCCACACTCTCTCTTATTTCA